CAGGAGAAATTCCAATAGAGGAAAGCAGCGCTCGGCACGGAGGTACAGAAGTAGAGCAGTAGATGCACGATCATCACCACATCCGTTTCGACGCGAAGCACAGAGCGCGCTGTGCGAACTAAGGGTCGGAAGAGCCACCTTTCCAAAATACCAGGCAGTTGTAGATTGTGCAACTCGGTACTAGTGAAGATAGTCGGGTCGAACTGCGCGCCAGCAGGGTCGTTGAGTGCCTTGAGCGTCGCCAATGTAGCTGCGTCTCGCCTCCGAGCTGCCTGTCATGTTAACAAGACTTATCCAGGCATCCGCATGCGTCTTTTTTACGCTCGCGCAGCGCCGCCACTCGCTTTAGTATACAGTTGGTTCCTTTCTAACTTACCTTTACCCGGTTGTTTCTGCCCTTCATTCCGTCTCCTCCGTCGGTAGTCCCGAACGTCAGCCGCAAGATTCTGGAGCACGAGGCGGTCTTGCCTCGTGAGGCCTTTGTCGACCAAGATGCCGGACATTGTTGGCTACACCTGTGCCGATTTAAGTCAGACGCAAACAGTTGCGACCCGGAAAGTATGTATGCGACTATCGCAAAAGTGAGGATTACAGTGGTGCAAAGGCTTGCGAATGACGGCTCACAGTACGGCGCTGTGACGTGACAGCATACTGCGGCTTCATACGGTCCTGGACCCAACGGGCGAGGTGGACCCATGATGAGCCATGACAGAACACATCCAGAGCCGTAGGTAGGAAGCAGCTCTGTGGGAGCCAGTGGTCAACGCAACTAGCGGCCACACCACTTCACGCCGCTCGCCTCAATTCCCCCACACCACCACAACTGTCAGCCACTATGTTCCCCACCCTCGCCTACTGTACTATACTATACTATACTGTACTACAGTATTATACGATACAGTACAACTGGCTGGCTTCCTAAGGCTATGAATAGAGCCAGAATTATCTCTACCGCCGTAGCGCAGTAGAAGCCGCTGCAGTAGGGTACAGGACCGCTACTCAGCCTCTCATCAGCCCCGTCTGTTCCCGACATTGTCTCCCACAGCTCCTGCGCGTCACTTCAACGTCTCTTGTCTCTTTGATGCCCATTTTCCATGCCAATGTGAAGCACCGCTTCCCTCGAGTTGACGAGTCGTCACGAGACCGAAAGACAGGCTTAATACTGCGGGACTGTCAGGTTCAAATCTGCGCACGCACTCTCGGTACGACATACCCCATTATCCGGATACGAACTTGACGGAACCCGACTGTTCCTTCCGCTGTCAGTGTTCTTGGCGTACTTCAAACAACCTTCGGTCTCGGGTTACTGTGCGGCGTGGAGACTTCTGACTTGCCAGGCGCCACTGCTATGTTCTCAAACCAAGTTAGCCCGAGTAGAGCCACAGGTAGCATTACCTGCGAGCCAGACCGCGCCATTCGCAAAGACAGCCTTGATGGCGCCAGTGCTGCCGAAGATACTGTCGCAGAGCCTAGTGTCGACGAGACAGACTACTATGACGCCGTTGGATACGCACCTCCGGCGCCATGGCAAGAAGCACACGATGCACTGCAGCAACAAATCGCCCTCGACAACAGGGAGAGCGACTCGAAAGAAAGCATGCCACAAAATGTATTTGCAGACATCGGGCTGAATCATGATTCACGGATTCAAAGCGTATTACCGCCAAGTGTTTATGCTACATCCATGAATTTTGCATCGAGTCTGGATGGAGGGATTATGACGCCGCAACAGAGACAACAACATTTCGCTGCTCTGTATCGGCAGCGGCTTCAACTCATGCAGCGCCACCAGGCCCGTGAAATGAGTCAACAGATACGAGCTCAACTGCAGGCAATGGCACGGAGAGTATTCACGGCATGTCACAGTGACGCCGATTTGCCGGGTTCGGTGGCATCGCAGGCTGTGTCTAGTGGGCGGAGTTCAGCAAGTGGTCTGGAACATAACGCAAGTCCGTCAAATATCCCAACCATTAAAATATGCTCGCTAATATATTTGCTTCTACAGCTACGTACCGACGAATCTGGCTTTGGACACGCCACATCTGACCTCGGGGTTGAACTTTGAGTTGCGATATCGTAATACTGTATAAGTAGAGACGAGACTGTTGGACACAGTGTTCGATGGCAGACCGACTGACCTACTCGGACCTTGAAGAGGTGCTGCAACGGTCGAGTCACTGCGCCGTAGAGGCCGTCACATGTTACCCCGGACGTCCCGCAGTTCTCGTTCTGTTGCACGACGAATACACTGCTTTGATAAGGCCGCCAGGCATCGTATTTGCAGTTCTCCAGACTCGGGTGCTCTAATATGAACCCGTCCGACGAGCATCATGCTGCGCTAAGATATACTGTCTGGAGTCACGTGATACAGTCTGGAACTTTGAACTCTGATCTGAACTTTGAACTTTGACGACGGTGATCGCTACCCAGAGATGCATGCAGACCGCAGCAATGAATGTTGTCCACCAGGATACTGAAGTAGAACTTCGCAGGTCAAGCCCGGTACGCCTCGTCTGAGTCCAAGGAGCCACCCTAACCTTCTTTATGGGGCAACGGCGTGCCTCAGCATACAGCCCGTCGGCGTGGAGGTGTAGTTCCTTCGCGAGTCGAAGGTAAGGTTGCGGCAAGCCCTCTCTAGGTAGCCTTTGTCAACCATCATCGCGCGGTGGCTCAGTAGAGGCCGACCGTCCACAATCCTGGAGGCAATTTCGTGATTGTATCTGAAGACTGCGGATGGTGCTTTCCCTAGCTAAGTATGAGCCGTCAGTGAGGCCTCGGGTAAACATGGTGAATGGCGAGCTTAACACTTCAATCGGCAGCTTGGTCGGGTTTCTACGTGCAATATTGCGCCGGGCTTTAAAGAATCGATGAAGGGCAAATTCAGACGGCGCTTTGTTCAGAATGTGACGGTATCGGACAGATCGCAGTGCCTTGATGCAGGAGGATACGAACAGCGAATGCTGGTGTAGATGCTGTCGTGACTGGCCAATTACTTACTGTTCAACGCTGCTTCTTCGCAGACTGAGAGTGAAGTACAGTGCAGGTGGGCGACGGGAGAAGGTGAGAGGACAGACTGGACAGAGAGGGTCTGGGGGGTCGGTCCTAGACCCTTCCGCCGCCATTTCTACCCAATTCTCATGTGACGCAGGTTTCGGCTCCTCGACACACTGCTGCGGGCTTCTACGATGGAAGAGAGGACGGCCAAGTTGCGGATTGACTCCCGCCGACTCAGCAGAGCCATTGTCGGCACTCAGACGAGGCTGTCAGCGCTGCAGGCAAGCGTGAACAGGGGTGTCAAGTGCGATGGTGTGGAGAGTCGCGGGGTGAAAGTTGATGGTGTGAAGCAAAGAAGCGGGTGGTGGGCTGAATGACAGGGGACACGGATCCTTGTCGGCACCCTTGTACCACCCTTGTCTGACCCCTGTCCGGGGAAATTTGCAACAAATCGCCGTTACGGCGATCCAGAAACGGCTGCAATCCTTCTTGCCTCCTCCCGCATTCCTCTGCCCCATTCGCATCCCGTGCTTCACACCACACGTCCTGTGAGCTTCACACCACTCGTCCTGCGAGCTTCACACCACACATCCTGCAAGCCTGCATGCTTCACACCACTCGTCCTGGAAGCCGATCTGGCTGCACACCACACGTCCTGCAGGCTTCACACCACACGTCCTGTAAGCTGATTTTGTTTCACACCACTCTTCCTGCAAGCCTATATGCTTCACACCACTGACCCTGCGAGCTTCACACCACTCGTCCTGTAAGCCGGTTTTGCTTCACATCACTCGTCCTGCGAGCTTCACACCACTCGACCTGGAAGCCGATTTGGCTTCACACCACTCGTCCTGCAAGCCTGCATGCTTCACACCACACATCCTGCGAGCTTCACACCACACATCCTGCAAGCCTACATGCTTCACACCACGCGTCCTGCGAGCTTCACACCACACTCCCTGCAAGCCTACATGCTTCACACCATTCGTCCTGCAAGCCTCCTTTCAAGTGTGTCGCCAGGGGACGAGGACAGATTTTGATGTTGCCAGGGGCTGAGAAGAGGGTGTCGCCCTGGATGAGACCCGATCCGCGACAGGGTGATCCAGAAGTCGCTCCTGTTCTTCCTGTTCGCTACCCAGTACCCCCGAAGCTCTCTGCAAGTTTCGTTGCATTTGGTTCGGATCACAGGAGTAAGTCGCACGGGATTTGAATACGTACAGGCGTTTCTGTTCGTGCAATACGCCACTGAACGTCGCACACATTTCATTGTCGTCCCGTATCGTGACATGCGCCTAGTTGCTTCCATCAGCTACTTAGCTGCAGCCAGTGCACGCACTCCTGGGCAGAACGGTCACTGGGCCGTCCGCGAGCGCGAGCATGCAGCCGAAGCAGTCGGTGCCTTGGGTATCCGCGTCGAAGACTTGGCAAAGATAAATCGAGTTGATACGACAAGATTGAACAAGATCCACCCGGGCGAGACCTATACGGCCCCCTACGTGGCTTCGCTCGCACCGCCGGCCGTATGGCACATCGAGTCGATACAGACCGGTATTTCCGGCTGTCTGGCACACCTCGAGTTGAGTCCAACCTCAACCTTCACAGCCGAAGTGAAAGCAGCGGCAAGCACTCAGTTTTCATCATTGCCACCACAAGACCATACTTGTCGTTCTTCTGGCTCAAAGACTACTACAAATGATGACCCTACGGGCTCATTTCGTGAGTCATGCGGGCCTCTTACATGCGGCTCAGCGGATCTCCTTGGGACATCAGCACCGTCCCTTGTAGCCGGCACCTTGGGTACATCAGCAGCAACAGGCTGCGCGAGCAAGGACTCTTCGACGCCTCTGGGTGCCGCCCAATCTTCAGCAACTACCTCCGGCGTTCTGACTCCGTACTCAAATCCGAACCCTGTAACTTTCTGCATCGACGAGCAGCTTGAGCGCTGGCGCCCCGGATTCAATTCAGACAGACAGGCTGAACTAGCTGGTCTTTTCTGCAGCGAGAAACGGGCCCCTTTGAACGCTACAAACCCAGGCTATGCTCGGGAAATGGCGCCAATACCGGCGAAAGCGTACGCTGAAGGCTATTACTTCTATTCTCTGCTCTGGACTGGCTGGGACCAGAATTGCACCGCGGAGCAGACAATCGACACAGATACTTGTATCGACATGATGAAGCAAAGCTTCCGGAAATGTTAGTCCGCACTTATCCGTTTGAGGTACGAGCTGACCAGTGATGGTTATCTTACACAGTATTTCTATCAAAGTTTCAGGATGCGTGATGACGGTAGGTACCTCTTCTCTCTACGCTGGACTGGCTGGGACGAGAGATGCCCTGCAGAAGAAAGCATTGAGCTGGAGACATGTATAGACGCTATGGAGCAGAATTTTAAGAAATGTAAGTTTACCATCCTGAAACCAACGTATCAAGGTAGCTGACAGGGTTTGAGGCAATAACGGTGGCATAGGAGGAACCACAAAAGTTGGGTGCGTAGTATATGAGTTTCGAGGCCTTAAACCCGAAGGGTTCATGATGCCCGCGGCCGCCTAGATCATCTCCGTAGCCGAGAAACGCAGTGGTCACACCTGTAAATTCACACCGTACAACGAGTCTCAGGGCGGACAAAACAGATGCTTATAGCCACTGGGATGACCAAGGATCAAGATGACGCAGTCAACAGGGAACAGGATGTTTGCGCAACTGTAGCAACGACCCGGTAAGAACGGCCTCGGGGTTCATCAAAGTGGTGCGGAATCTTTGGTTGGATCGGTATCGCAGTGTCTTCGTCACGTCGACGGGCATTTTCGGCCACCCAGCACTCTCCATCTGACTCCTTACTTGTCTCTCACTGTTGAGACCGTCGAGGTGTCGCATTGAAGTTATGGACCAAATTACTCAAGCTCATCACAGCCAACGTGCGTCCGGCAGTCCCCGAGGCTGAGTCGGTGGAGTGCCTCATTCCCCCCTCCCCAAATCTGCAATCTATACAACCGGGGCTGCCGGCCCACATATTTGATGTATCCGTTGCGAGTTCGTCAGCATAGGTCTCAGCGTGGTGTATGTCAAACACGCCCAGGGTCGCTTGTCGGTCTGGTCGTCGGGCGCTTTGCATGTCTACCGTCGTATAGACAGTCCAACATTTTTCTTGAAACGTGGCTGGGTGATATAGGTTAATTTGCGGGTGTAGTGATCGTGGTTCCAATTCAAAGGTGCCTCTGCCCGTATTTACTACTGGTGCTGGACCAGCCAGCCAGCGATCCCGGCTACCATGCGTATAGCTCTCGGCGACGGCCCGCAGAAGGGTACCGGCGCTGTCATCTGAGATTGGCTGAAAAGTGCATTCCTGCCCTTGCCAATAGCATCTGTGACACTTTCCTTGCGCCGTATTTTGGAAACCGCTGCATCGAACCTGCAGTGGCATTAGCGTTCTAGCTCGAAGCCCAATACACGAGACCCACCTTGCGCTGCCTGCAAGATATGCATGCCATGATCGTTCGTGAATACGTCGATTCGCCGGCCGGAGACGCATATGCTGCACCAGACGAGCCATCTCCACGTCTTGTCATGGTTCTTGTCGTTGCAGGCGCTTTCCAGGTATCCGGCTTCTGCAGAAGCTGGAACGTGAGCTGATATTGAGACTCGGGACGTGCTTTCTTTGTTCCAGGCTGACAGGACGACCTGATGACTTGCTCCATGATGAGGGCAGTAGACTGGTGTCCTCGGTGCCCAGCAAGCTGCCGAGACGGTCGCCGTGAAGAGTGCGTTAGATTTCGATGGCAAAGTGTCAGCACTCGCCGTGGCTCGCGTAGCCCCTTCAACAGGGGCATTCTCTTCGTGCGGTTGAGGCCTCGTCAGCGCCACGGTGTTGGTCGCGTCGCTGCGCATTTGCTTGCCGTTGCCTGGTAGCCAGAATAGGCGCCTAGCTGACCCTCACACCATCTCGCTTGCTTCACACCATCTTGCTGCCCACCATCACATCCCGCCCCTTCCGCTGCGCACCACCTTACTTGGCTTCACACCACCTCACTTCGCTGCACACCCGTTTGGCCTTACCAGGATGCAGGAATGGGTTGAGCGCTAATTTTACCCCTGGCACCCTGGAGCAAGCACAACGCTTCTTGTCTCCAGGAGCCAGAACCTACCCCTGGTAAGTTGTGAAGACGTACAGTCGCGGAAGGGTCTATGGGCGACACCCCGCGTTGTTGCCAGCATTGTCCGCTATCCTGCTTCTGTCGCCTCGCCATTATCACCAAGACAGCAATCCGTCTAGAAACGAAACAACGATACATAACGCCACGCGGAGTGCTGCTATGGAAGTCTCCGCTTACATCTCTCCAGGTGGGTGATCTAGCGAGCGTTATTACAAGCCGCTGTTCACCTCGCCTCCCAAACTCATCAAGTCCAGCGCACGACACTGATTCGGTCGCCAGCCGACCTGCCGGGTCGAGCTCTGACCAGCTACCCTTGGCAGCCTACCTCAGGTGAGCCGTCTCGTCGCCACGCTTGGTCCTGGGCTGCGCACGGCGCGACACAGTCTAACAGTATATCCAGGTAGCGCTGCTGCCATTTTGCTTTGTCCGCTGATAGCCGCAGCTCCCGACCTCGATTGCGCGTACCGCCGCGTGACTGACTCCCCGATCGCTACGCAGAAAGACGGCACGAGCACAAACAATGGAACGGAAACGCTCTCACGAAACGGAGGCGTCCAAGACGATGGGAAACTCACCCGTTTCGTCCCATGGCACGCCGCCGACCACCGCGACCAGCCGCCGCAAATCTCTCCGTCGCAAAGGACCAGTACGCCTGATCATGCAACTGCCGAGCGCTCAGCACCGCCGGCCGAGGGCCCCTAAGACGCCGACGACTTGGCCGCCGCCCAAGGCCCTTCCGAATCCTAGAGACCACACGACAGACCAGTTGAATAACTTTGAATCAGACCCCAAGGGGCTACGCACCGCACAGAGGGCCAGTTCAAGGGTCGCAGACTCTATCGGCTCAGCGAATGTATGAGAATTGTTATGGGCGGACAGCGCTCAGTACCAGGCAACACTACGGAAGATGAGCCTTGACGCCCGTGCTTGAACTGGGCGGACACGCCAGCGCCCTCCTTACCTTTGGCGAGCTTGCATGCTCCGACAAATCATGGTGCTGAGCGGCTTTGGATTGCCTCTGTCATGCCAGAGTGTATGGGCACTGCCTTTCAATATGATGCGACGTCTTACCGCCGTGTCTCTCTGCCGTTGCCCGCTCACACTGACTACCCCGCTGGACTTCACAGTGACTGGCCGGTGCTGACAGAGAGAGTCACTATACCCCGGCTAAACATGTATCTAATCTCGTAGACTATCAATTGACTTCACTTCATGCTCGGTCTTCGTCGCGTCGGGGTTTTTTGTTCGACGTACATGGCTCGCCTACTTGGCGCTGACAATTGAGCTTTGCGTGGGACCTGGGGTCAGTCGTTATTCGAAGTGCCCGAACGGTTCGCAGGCTATGATGCACTCCGACGTCGTCTTCCCGCCATAGAAGGCGCTGGAACTGCGTACATCCCATCGTGCTTTGACGTTACGGGCGGTGGTCGCAGACGTAGCGAAGCCGAAGTCTGGCTTATGCCGACCACCAGTTAGTTGCTCATCGACACGGATGTAAAGCGTCTGTGCAGGGTAGGGGAGTTCCCGCTCAGGCCTCATGCACGCCATCAGTACAGTAGTAACTCTGTGATTCGAACTGAGTGGGATGAAGCTTGCAGAGAGTTTGGGGAACTGGGCAGCGAACACGAGAACCGGAGCGATTTCTGGATCCCTCTGTCTGTCACACAGCCCTTACAGCCTGGGTGGTGTGGGGCAAAGTCGGCTTGCAAGACGTGTGGTGTGCATCCAAATCGGCTCCCAGGACGTGTGGTGTGGAGGATGCAGGCTTGTAGGACGTATGGTGTGAATCTCGCAGGACGTGTGGTGTGAAGCCTGCAAGCTTGCAGGATGTGTGGTGTGAAGCTCGCAGGATGTGTGGTGTGAAGCTCACAGTACGAGTGGTGTGAGGCCAAATCGGCTTCCAGGACATGTGATGTGAAGCATATTGGCTTGCATGACGTGTGGTATGAAGCATGCAGGCTTGCAGGACGAGTGGTGCAGGACGTGGTATGAAGCCAAATCGGCTTCCAGAATGTGTGGTGTGAACCTCGCAGGATGAGTGGTGTGAATCATGAAGGCTTGCAGGAAGCGTGGTGTGAAGCTCGCAGGACGAGTGGTAGCAAAATCGGCTTCCAGAATGTGTGGTGTGAAGCTCGCCGGATGAGTGGTGTGAAGCATGAAGGCTCGCAGGACGCGTGGTGTGAAGCATGTTGTCTTGTAGTACGAGGGGTGTGAAGCAAAATCGGCTTACAGGACATGTGGTGTGAAGCCTGCAGGCTTGCAGGATGTGTGGTGTGAAGCTCGCAGGACATGTGGTGTGAAGCATGAAGCCTTGCAGGCCGGCTTGCAGGACGTGTGGTGTGAAGCCTGCAGGCTTGCAGGATGTGTGGTGTGAAGCTCGCAGGACGAGTGGTGTGAAGCATGTACGCTTGCAGGACGAGTGGTGTGAAACAAAATCGGCTTCCAGGTCGAGTGGTGTGAAGCTCACAGGACGTGTGGTGTGAAGCACTGGATGCGAATGGGGGCAGAGGAATGCGAAGGAGGCAAAGAAGGATTGCAGCCGCTTCTGGATCGCCGTGAACGCCGACTTGTTGCACATTGCCCAGGACCAGGGGTAAAACCAGGGTGGGCACATGGGTGCAGACAAGGATCCGTGTCCCCTGTCATTCAGCCCTCCAGCAGCTTCTTTGCTTCACTCCATCAACCTTCACCCCGCGATTCTCCACACCATCGCACCGGACATCCATGTTGACGCTTGCCTGCAACGCTGACAGCCTCGTCTGAGTGCCGACAATGGCTCATTCTGGGGGAGGTCCTGGAGCCGGCGGGAGTCAATCCGCAACTTGGCTGTCCACCATTCCATCGTTGCGGCCTGCTGCATTGTGGAGGAGCCAAAACTACTGTATCTCATATGAGAATGGAGTAGATGTGGCCGCGGAAGGGTCTAGGAACGACACCCCCAACCCTCTGTGTCCAGTCTTCTCCCTCAACTTCTCCCGTCGCGCACCTTCACTGTACTTCACTCTCAGTCTGCGAACAAGCAACGTTGAACAGTAGTAAGTAATTGGCCAGCCACGACAGCATCTACTACCAACGTTCGCTGTTTGTATCCTCCTGCATCAAGGCACTGCGATCTGTCCGACGGCGACCAAGCTGTCGATTGAAGTGTTAAGGTTGCCATTCGCCATGGATTTCAATGTATGGCATTCACCCAAGGGCCTCACTGACGGTTCATACTTGGCTAGGGAAAGCACCATACGCAGTCTCCAGATACCGTGACGACTTGCCACCAAGATTGTGGACAGCCGCTCACGATTGAGCCACCGCTACCCAGGGAGAGCTTGCCGCAACCTTGCCTTCGACTCGTGAGGCAACTACACCTCCACGCCAACGTGCTGTATGCTGCGGCTCGCCACCGCCAGTATAAAGAAGAGTGCGCTGGTCCCATGGACTCGGACGAAGAGCCCGAACTTGCCAGCCGCGCTGCACCGATTTAATGGCGGCACTCATCTCGTCTCTGAGCAGCGACCACTCACGTCAAAGTTCAGATCAGAGTTCAAAGTTCCAGGCTCTATCACGTGACTACCGAAAACGTGTCTTAGCGCAGCATGATGCTCGTCGGACGGTTCATGTTAGAGCACGCGAGTCTGGAGAACTGCGAATGCAATATCTGGCGGCGTTATCACTGCAGCGTATTTGTCGGAAAACAAAAAATAGCAGCGGAACGGTTGATCAACTCGACCTGCAGGCTGTAGCTGAGGCAAGAGGCGCAGTCGGGGACGAGCAACAATACAACGCCGCGATGCACCCTTAAGCGGCATTGTAGCCCGACACAGATTCATATTTCGCCTGTGCGATTGTAGAACTAGACAAATGGCTCGTCCATTATTCTGTCACCACACTGCGGACCTTCCATGCTATTTACTGGGCCAGGTTCCACAGGTAAGTTCATCTCTGCGAAACTGCAGTCTTCCTGAAGCCGTTTCACCCTGTGCTGCGGATTATAGCAAGCCAGAGACGACGCTCGGGACAGACTTCTGGACGTCGGACTCGGCGATCCACACCATTGGCCGTCATTCATAAGACACTCAAGCTCAAGATACGGCATGTCGTCCTCATCAAATGCGGATATCCGGTAATTGCGAAATTCTGACCAAGCACTCGCGCTAGGACACGGTCACAAAGAAATTCGATTCGTATTCGGACGTCTCGTTCGGACTACAGGCCATACGGGCAGACAAGATGCCATGCCACTTTGATAGGCTCCGAGGCCATTTTTTTTTGTGGGTTGGCTACAATAGCAGGCTGGTACGGAGGTTGTTACGGTTCGTCGCAGTGATCCATTCCACCGAACTTGATCTGGGTGCGGCGTTCTCCGATGACGGTTCTGACAGCATCGTCCCCCAAGAACAGAGGTTGGTCGGGAGCTGTGGCTCGGTCCATGTCGTAATGGTGACGTTGTAAAGCGGTGGTTGGGATAAAGTCAGACAAAACGAACCCCGACGTTATGCTGCGTCATGATAAGATTCCCCGCGCCGTTGAAGGTGTTGCTATGGCATCATGACGTAGTCCCAATTCATCTCCTAGTTCCGGTGTATAACTCTTGATCCACGTATACTCTTGGCCTGTTCAGTTGTTCTGGATGAACGGCGAATCGTACCGATAGCGTTTTCTGTTCTCCTCAACCCACCAGCGGGCCATGAAGGCAGCTTCCTCTGCCCACTTGGCCGCTTCGACACCATACCTGCTTTTGACCTTACGTAGACATGTGAAGAAGTCAAAAGCTAACGTCGGCTCATTCTCGTGCGGATCAGGACCTAGGTCTGTAAAGCGCCACTCAACGTTTTGGACGATAGGTACGATTAGTCGCCAACCTGGTTGACGAGCATCACGCACGGCAACCGTGGCACGACCGGGATTCATGACTGTGAACTGCCAGTACGCATGAGGCCCTGCGGTACCGTTGGAGGTCTTGTGCAGCGGCCGGATAAGGGACTGTCCTTCGTAGTTCCGGACTAGGTCATGGGCTACCTGTTTCTGAGAATCCGGTAACGAACCCGTTTCCAGGAGCAGATCTAAGATGGTTGGGAGGATTTGCAGCGACTCCACCGCATCGTCGATATCGATATTGGGGAGGTGTGGGTGCGAAATGACAAGAGGAACATGAAAATTGCCAATGTTAGGGTTGTAATATGGCGTCACGCCATTGTTCTCCGCCACAGAGATACCGTGATCTCCCGCCATGATGATGAGCGTCTCATTTGCAACCATTTGCTCGTCAAGAATTTCTAGAATCCGACCTAGCCACCGATCGACGTATCCGATAGAGTTCAGATAATGCGAGAGGTCGTTCAATCCGTCGTTTGAGAGTTTGGCATATTCTTCCTCTTCTGGAATGGCAAATGGGTGGTGAGTTGTGCTTGTAAAATGCGTGAGGAATACCCGTTCGTTGTCTTTCTTTGCAAGGACGAAGGCATCCCGTATGTAATCTTCGACTGCAACTTCAGCCATCCCATAGTAATTGATCTCTGGAAGATTGACAGGGCCAAACTTGGCATCACTACTCTGGAGATATTCCTTGTAGATGAAGTTCTCTGGCTTGTAACCCAGGAAAGACATTTGCCGATCCTGTTTGTCATATGTGTCGGTAATGGACTGTATTAGGCTTGAACGCCACTTGAGAGAGTGAAAATCGGATGAGACATTTGTGTTGGTCTCACGAGCATTGAGCGTATTGAAGAGGTCGAAAATGTGAGGCAGACACGGTTGATATATGTGGTATTGGTACTCGACATTGAAGTCGGCGACGAGAGGCGTGATCCCACACAGGGTTCCTGTCATGCTTTTCAGAGTATAAGTTGCTGTCGTGTAAGCATTGTTGAAGTTGATGCCGCCGCGCCGTCTCTTCTGAGTATGCACAAAACCGTCTTCGTAATCTCCGGTCAGGAAATTAGCGTTCGGTGTCAGAGTAGCAAGCCTCTGTTCCGCCTTGCTTGGAAATTTTGCGTCTGGAAAGGTTGAGGCAAGTCGTTTCCAGATGTAGCCGTTCTTCTTGATCGGGAATACGTCCTTTCGGGTGCTCTCAAGCTTCACCAAAACTACGTGACGAATCTTGATGTCGCTGAGCGCTTGCTGGATTCCAGGGAGTAGGTCGTCGTTCAAGTTTGAAATCTTTAAAGGATCCTCCGCTGCATTATAATGGTCGTTGCCGGAATTATACCAGTCATCAAATCCTGCGAGAGGATTGTTCTTCGGAAGCCACGGAAACTGGATGGGCTTGGTAAGGGCTGTGCGGCCGTCCCACTGTCGGTTAATGCCGTTCCCGTAGAATGGTAGTAGGCCAGCCAGACTCGGAGACGAGTTCGTGAAATCAACCCATGGGAGTAGGATCATGGTCCATGACAGAAAGACCAAAGAGCTCTCTGCCGGCCGGATTACGATTGAGACAACTTGAAGAATCAAGTAGACACCCATGACGATCTTTGGCCACGTCCAAGCAGAAGGGGAGCCGCCATTGCTTTCGCCAAATTCGTCCTTGTGGTCGAAATCTGATGCTTCTTCAGGATCTAGCTGAGGGAGATGGATGTATCGGACCGCCTTTTTTGGGAGGTATCGGAGGATCGAGGCGGCTCGGATGAATAGCGAAACCGTGAGTTCTTGGGCAACGCCGGCCAAGGTGTAGAGGTAGCACTGTGCAAGCCAGCTCGTAGCGACCATAACAATGCCCACGGCAATGGACGAAGCGAGTCCCGAGAGCAGTACCTTGCGAGAAGACTTGTCGCCAACAAAGCCAATATTGCGCCAGTGAACCTCCGAGCCAGCCGCGGCGAAGAACGAAATGTTTGCAGCTGCTAGGAGATAGGTCACTGCTGACGTGATCGTCGCGAGAGCTGTGGCTCCCCCACGTATCCAGCGTCTTGTTGTACACAGTTCGTCGTCCAGCAGAATTCGTAACAGGATCAGAAACACCGTGTCTTGGGCGAAGAACGAGAGCAACCACAGCAGTATGTCAGACGCGCTGAGTGCAGTGTGGTGAGCGTAGACATGCACCGACTTGGCTGCGAGTACGGCGATGGCCGCGATGGCAAAGATGAAAGGGCGACCGGCGAAACGAGAGACCGCGTTATGCAAGAGCCTGCGGCTGCTGAGCCGGGAGCCCGCGAGCACAACCCATAGGAAAGAAAAGCGAGATTGACTGCCACGAAAGAGTCCGGAAACAGACATGGCGATACGTGCACCGAGGCGACGCTAGCGTGTGCTTCAACTAGAACATTCTGCCATTGCAGGGCTGAGGTTACTGGCAAGGCCAAACATATCAAGAGAGCACTGAGCCAGTGCTCGTCGGCCCAGTGGAACGTGTACTGACCCCTGAACGACTGAGCTGGCCTGAGAACTCTGGCGCAGCAGCGGATACGGCTGGCGCTTCCACACCCTATTGGCTGGTTCGTATCGTACTGCCCGTATTGCGTGGTCAGCGGATGGAAAGGGTGCACGCGACATCTTACCTGCTCTGGTGGTACAGTGTAAGCGTCGGCCGAGGCGCAGTCAGGAGAATTCATTGGTACAGTCTGAACCCCATTACGATGCCCGCTATGGCAGAGCTTCGGGGCGGGCGCGAGTACGGTGCGTACAGTACCTACATGGAGATCACCCAAGGCAATAGCAGGAAGACGACCACAGAATCCCTGCGCTTACTGAGCAACGATATGTCCCTCCCCACACCGGTTTTGTTGGCACCGAAGGCTGTCTGTCGGACAGTGGCCGAGTAAATGCGGTCCCAGTCACGTAGCCATCCCCAGGAGGCTTTTTACCGCCCGCCGCACGCGTGCCCAGCTCAGAGACGGCTCGGACACTTCTCAATTAGGGCATCGCCGACCCGCCTAGGAGAACGTGCTCAGTCTCAGAAAAGTACTGTATCCCATCACCAACAGCAATGGATGATGCACAGTAGTACAGCATTGAGGGCAGGAGTAGTCATCTCAGCTACGTCCTGTTTGCTATAGTACCCTTGCCCCCGTACGTGGCTTCCTTTACCAGTAAACTTGACGGCTATTCTTCCCGCATTCAGAGTTCTCCTTACGATGGCTGGCGGTGCCTGTTGTTAGGCGCAGCGGGCTGCGTTGGGCTTTTGGGCTAGTAGGGAATGATCGGTCGGCCCCTCAAGGGCCCATCAGTATCGCATATTCTCAAGCCGCCTCCGTTCTATTGCGTAGCGTATCGTAGCACTGAACTCCTTTCATGTTCGGCGCCCAATGTTCATCCATAGATTGCGATTCGTAGTCAGGCGAAGAATCTCCTCGCTGTGCGTTCGTGCAGTGCCTCTTCTCGGTGCGAAACACTGTCTATCTGGTGCCATCGGACAGTGACAGGACCCACCGCAACCACATTACAGCGACACTGTTGCTTTGATGCGGCAAAGGCACAGTAGCCACTAAGCCGTGCCACCCGTATCCTGAGCTGTGCTAGCACGTTGGCCTCCTTCCATGCCCACTGATCATACAGTTGGCGAGTGTGCTTCCCGGGCAACGCCGCATCAACTTTCTAGGTTGTGTCACCCAACGTGCCCGGTATCTGTCAGTCCACATGCTACAGTAAGACGCATTGCGGAAGCGACAACCTGCCACTGGCTGGCTAAGTGCGAATCTCGAAAACTGTCATCACAGCTGCATGATCCGAAGTCCACTCGTTGTCTTGATGGTAAGGCTCAGGCTTCGGCGTTCCCACAACGATCGCGTCCGACTTCAGCACCCGTAGGCCCTTGTGGAAAATGAAATCTATGCGGTCCTTGGGTTCAGTTCGACCCTCATTGTCCAGATAGATCGGAGACCAGGTATTGCCGGGTTGCGCCACAGGGTCTGTGTGAACTGCCCGGTATGAATCCACCAGGCCTGCCATGAATGGATACATTGATGTAGGCCACGAGACGGATCCGACGCCGCAGTGTAGCTGTTTCGCGGCATCAATCCAGTCCAGATGTGAAGGAGCGTTGAAATCGCCGGTGAGCAGGACCGGAATTTGGTCGGCGCGTGCTATTTGGTCCTTCATGCGATTCGTAATCTCTATCATCTGTCCCGTGCGACCTGACTGAGTTTCGCGAGTTAGAACCACTTCTTTGTCCATATGGTCGAAGCAAAAGTCGTACGGCCCATACGGTGTGTAGCCCAAGTGTGCATTCCACATGATGACTTGCTTGTCGCGGCCCAGCTGGACTCGCACGGCGCCTGCGTTCGACGTCGGCGGATACACCTCAACAATGGGATAGCGAGAGATAATGCCAACATCGTCGCCCTGCCAATACTCCCAACCCATTGCCTGAGCCAACCGTATGGCATGGCCCCCTGTGCTTTCTTGTAGACCGACTAGGTCTACATCACTGGTGCTCAGGAACCGAACTTGCTTGCTGTGATAATTGCTGACCTTAGTGCCCCCAAACCACAAGTTGTACGACATGACTCTTAGCTGACTGACTAGTGGAGATCCTGAGCCAACAAGTGGGATTGTAATCTGCAGTCGGGCCTGGGATCCATCGGACACGGTCGCCTCAACCATTATCTTTGCGTCACCTGTGGACTCATTTGGAGTCCCCGACAAAGTTCCATCCGGGGATACCTGGACCCAGCCGGCGTTTGCTGAGGCAGTTTTTTTGATAAAGGTGGTTTTTCCGTCCGGTGGATTGGCGAGAAGGCCGCGGATGCTGGCCATAAAAGGTTCACCTCGACGGGAATTCGCCGTCTTGAAAGCCGCCACAATGAATCCAATGGGTCCCGTGCCGGGAAGAAAGATTTCGATCGGATCAGCAAGCCAACTGTATCCGTCGTCTTCCAGAAAATATGCCTTGTAGTTGCCCGGTTGCAGGTTGAAGACGGGAATATGTACGATTCCTTCACTGCCTGGCGCCCAATCCCAAGCCAACGAGCCAGATACTTTCTTCTGATCATCGGGGCCACCTCCTCGAGCGTGGTAGATGCCAATCCAGTTTTTTGACTTAGGTAGTGTGGTAGAGTATCGGAAAGTAAACGGTGTCTTGGCGTCGGCAACGGAAAACGTGCCTTTCGGAGAAATAACGGTTGCCTCGACCGGATTTGCAAGCCATCGATAGCCATCATTTGCGAGAAAGTAGGCTTTATATTTGCCAGGAGACAGTGACGACGTGGAGAGCCGTACAGTTCCTTCGCTCTTCGGAGCATAGGCCCAGGCTAACGAGTCTTCAACATGCTTCTGGTCATCTGGGCCGCCTCCGGTTGCTCGGTAGAGACCAACCCAATTCTTGGAAGTTGGTGCATCGGTAGTATAGTCAAAGGACAATGCGGGAGCGTTGAATCGAGAAGTGAGAGTACCGGGCAAGGCGGCGCCGTTGGCAGAGTTGGAGCCTTGACTCTGGCCGAAAACTAGGATGAAAGTTGCCACCCTAACAAGGGCAAAGAAGATACGCATAATGGGAACAGGTTGCAGCAATACTAGTTGAACGCAGCTCCTTACTTAGCCCGGGGGTAGGTGAGTCTTGCTCAATTTGAAGTCGTCTGTTCATACATCGGGTGCTGCCCTCTCCCACGCTACATCCGAACAATGCTTGCAGTACAGTATCAGCCGTGCATTGAAGAGCCATGGGCGTCGTCATCCTGAACAAAAGTCCTGTCCCAAAGCAGAACCCGCTGCATGCTTACACGTACGTTGGCTTTTCCCGAGCAACAGTCGAACGATCAAGGTTTTGGTTTGATGTAGGCGTGACCACTTTCTGCAGCCAAGCTCCCTCCAAAAGACCGAGTCGCGTTCTCGGGGTTTTCTGGGCCCGTCCGATTCGCAGACACCGCAGTAGGCACGGCCGGTCGTTGAAAATGTAACATGCAGTTGGTCCTGTCCACCAACGTTCGACGACCGTCCCTGCCTATTCTCCAGCCGTGTTTACTTTGACTTTGCCGGGCCTGATTCTGACAAATACTCAGACTCTTGTACCAGGCCAAATAGCACTGGAGCAAAAGCATTACTGTTCCAGAGGAAATGAATTACAGCGCATTGACGCCGTGCCTGTGCAAACTTAGGTTCAGTTACCCTACCGCTCCCCCAACTGGCGTGATGAAGCAGCAACGAATCCGTCCTTGCGAGCCGTGTATTGCCGGTACATGTTGGCTCACACGATATGCAAGGATTTTTTGCAGTACGTCTTCCGCGAAGGGAATTACGTTAATGAGTTGTTGCTCCACAACTGCGAACAGACGTACCTTGGCAACCCTCCCCTCTAAGCCTCTATCCAAGCATGCGGACGGCTCGGCCTTGTCCTAAACCAGTAAAACAAGCTGTCCAACAGATTCTTTGAGAGGCAGACACCACACAGTACGCTGGAGTAAGGTAATGTCAGAGACAAGATGCGTAGTGTGGCGCCAAGTTGGACGCCTTGAACTCGGCTCCAAGTAACAAGTGAGGTCAGCCAACAGCGTCAAGAGTACCGCACAGGCGGCAAAGGTCTCAAGTATAAAAGTCACGCCGTGGTGCTGTCTGTCAGACATGAAGATTATCGGCTTTACCAACACATTTACTCAACAACTTATACACGCCAAATAAACATCAGGCTACTCAGGCCCAACGCCAGTCTGTTTCCGACATGAAGCTCCTCAACGTCCTCCTCATGGCTCTTGTACACGCTAGGAGTGGTTTCTCCACTCCTGTTGAAGATGTAGCTGGACAATGTGGTGCTCTGGGTGTGATGAAGGTTGATACATCCGCTCTTCCGGCTGGTGTTGACCCAGGAGCCATCCGCAAGTGTGCTGAGCACCCTGTGGCTGCGTCGCCTAACCCCATCGCTAAGCGCGACTGCTGGTACGGGAAGAACTCTGGCTGCTCCAAGGGCTATTGCTGGAAGAGCTGCGGAGGCAACGGCCAGTGGTGCTGGACCGCATTCAATGATGGCTATGGGAACTGGATTGGATGCAGCAATGATAACCAGTGCAACACCAACCAGGCTTGTGGCATCGGTAACTGCAAGACCTGCGGCTGCAGCTGCTGAGTAAGGTCCTGCGGTCCACGAGTCACAGGGCAACACAAAGAGTGGAAACAGGATATTGTAACGGGCGAACGAGGGCGCTGGCTCTCCGGGGGTTTTCACATTCTAGATGGTGTGCGCCATCTCAATCCCTAGTCTGGCCTGGCCAGAGGGACTTTCTGCCACCGACCTTCTTTCACTCTCTAGGATCGAATTAATTAAGTTCCAGGGCATGAACTCAGTGATTCTTTGCAGCATGTAAAGCGGCCTGTAAAATTAATTGCAATCTGATGGGCACAGTCGCTGGCTCGTTGGCCACGAGCTAGCTCCAGGCCAAGCAGGCTGCTATACGGCCCGGAAAGACAGCCCGGATTGCGCCTCGTTATCTGGGCTGTCCCGCCACAGTACTGGTGTTGACAAGTCCCGTATCCCGTACCATGGCAGCCTGCAGGACGGCTGAGCATGGTGCGTAACGGGTCTGGGGCGAATCCCTATCTGCCACACGCCGACGTTGCGTTGGCTAGCCTTGACGCGAAGCCGCTCGGCCCGTCGCGCAGCAGATGACGCGGATCATTGATTGCGCACGACAGTGTTCGGGAATGGGAAGAGAATCTCGATTGTAACCGAGTTGGGCCGCCGCGTTTGGCTTTGGAGGTGACACATCACAGGGTTTCGCGCGATGCGACCCTCTGTTGGACAAAAGATCATTCGTTCCGTCTCGCAGAAACGTCCCGTCCCTTGGCGGCCGCACATGCCGTACAACCATCGCGGCCCAGTTTTTAACCAATGCTGCTTCAGCCCCTGTACACACTTATACGCTGTTGGTTCCGGGGGTCACGGCTGATGTCCAATCACAAGTTCAGAGGTAAGGCCGCTGATGTGGGCCCTGCATTGCACCGTGTTCGATGGCAGGGGGATCGACGCGCGGCAACGGAAGCAGTCCGCGAAGCCCGTCACCCGCATAAGGTCAGGAGTGGTCTTCCTTGCGGGCCGATGTAATACTGGTCAGAGCGCCCCATTCTAACTGGGCCCCAAGAACCCACCGCAAACTTCCCACATTTGCCCCTCGGAGGTCCTTGGAGTTGAAACGTCATGCCGATCAGGGAGACCGTCGCCCATCTATGAACAGCCACATTGATCAAAACTAGGTAACTGAATATCTTTCACACTGAGCGGAATTTGCTAGTTCTTTGATTCATACCAGGTCACAATACTTTTTAAAGACGCTCCGGTTGCTGAAAGGTGTCTACAGCAAGAGCGCGACGCTTCAACATGCAGGATCATGTAGCGGCCTTGAACCTGCTTGTTGGTACTTTGTTCTTGTTATGGTTGGCAGTTCAGTTTGTCGACTTTCAGGCCCGTAACGCATCGCACACACCTTACTTCGATTCTTCGATTGCTTACGACTGGGGAGTGTACGGTGCTTCTCCGCAGCAGTCCTATCGAAGCTTCAAGCAACGGTCCCCAAAGCCAAATCTTGTGCGACAAAATGAGCACTGCGACACTGGGTTCGTCTTCCTCCATCGGCCAGGTAAAAATTGCGAGGAAGCGCCATTTATGATATTCGACAACAATGCAAATTTGGTGTGGATGCCAGCTGAACACCAATGGGATGCTGTTACGGGTTCAGATCTCACAGTCCAGCAGTTCAAGGGACGTGATTACATTGTATACCGGCAGCTTAATGGCATCTCACAACACAATAGCTCTCAGTGCTATGTCATGGTACGTTCGAACGCCCCACAATCGGAAAGAGGATGGTGGCCAGCTCGATTACAGACGTATGTCAGTCGGGAGAATTGACCGCCAACAGGTGGACGGGTCTTACCAAGTCTTTATGGAAATCCGACCAGTGGGATACTTCAATGGCGAATTGCGGGGCCTTCGAATTACCAAAAATGGTGGTGCTATCATCAACTTCACGAACCAAACCCAAAATGACGCAGCCAGTACGTCGACGCTAATGGAAGGGATATACGAGAGCATATTCCAGGAGATAGACTTGGAGTCTGGAGATCTACTCTTTGAATGGCGTGCAGCATCCCACGCGGCATCCATCAATAGCATCGACAAGAGCACTGAAGGGGACTATCTGGTAGCAGGTTCCTTTTCTGGCAGCAACACAATAATTTGCATCAGTCAGGAACACGGCCAGATTCTCTGGCGGCTCGGTGGTTCCGCAAATGACTTCGAAGATGCATCAAGTGACGCTGCTACCAGATTCTCGGGATACCACCAGGCAAGCTTTTTCCAGAATGCAACAAGTCTCATCGTCGTTGATCACGGATCAGCCACAGCTAGGGAGTCATCTGGGAACGACGTCCGCGTTTTGAAGCTCGAGCTTGACTTAGAGCGGATGATTGTGTCTCTCGCTAGGGCACACCAGCCATGGAGTAAAACGTCAACTGCCTCTGCTGTTCAGCTTCTACCTAACGGTAATCTTCTGTTCAGCTATGATGGCATATCTTCCGTCATGGAATCTTCGGAAAGCGATGTACTTTGCCACATGCACTTTAGTCCCAGCCTAGTACCTAGCCTGGCCCAAGTGCCAGGCATGGCAGCTTTGTCCAAGGGCCAGAACTATCGCATTTCCAAATTCCCTTGGGTTGGGCAGCCCAGGAGTCTCCCCGAGATCGCCGTCGATACCAAAGAAAGGGCAGTATATGTCAGCTGGAATGGTGCCACGACAATCGACGCTTGGGTTCTCCAAAGTAAGCGCAAGGGAGACAGCGATACCTGGTTCGATCATGTCCGGGTGCCGAAGGTGCAGTTTGAAACTAGGATACCCATTCCTCGTCATTCTGAGGAGATCCTTCGCGTCGTGGCGCTGGACCGCGATTGGAAAGTAGCGGCATATTCCAGGACTGCGTCAAAGCACGTAAGGACTACTCTTGAGCCTCACAAGGATGTACCCCATCTCTACTGGATAATGATTGGTATGAGCGTCATTTTTCTTGGAGTCCACATGTACAGGAGAGTTCACAGGGGAAGGGAGATGGGAAATATCGGGGAGCGAGAGTCACCTGAAAAGCGCATTGTGAACGCTCAAAGCAGTTAGCTACTAGTCACATGGAATCTGTGGGATGGTCGGACGTTGGTCCAGACTTCGCAGCTCATACTGTACTCGTGCCATGGTAAAGCCGGCCTGTAGCATTCGAGTCAATGATGCAATAGCGCAAGCAGAAGGTCGCCGCGGTTTGCAAACAGAAGTACCAGTAATGGGGCTTTCGATTTTTGAACTCTGACTGTACCGTTCCTAGATGCTTAGGCTCGCCCTGGCTGCACCGCATCCTCGCAGCGCCTAACTCAACTGCTGTGCGTTTACCACTTATTATCATTCAGATGGTTTGCACAATGACCTGTGAGCACAACGTGCTTTCCAGATACAGTCTCAGGACTCATAGTATGTCGCACCCTGTGGATCCTCCCATACATGTATAGTCCGAGGAAACTTGCGCTTAAACCCGTCACTACCCAAGTGGGTATGCGCTCAGTCTTGCGGATCGGTTGAGTAGTTTTCATGTGCTTGGACGCGGTTCTGGTGTACCCCGCTATTTTGCAGTCTCGATCTAATGCCACGATGCGAAGGATCGGTCCTGAGTGACGAGGAATCGGTATCCTTGTCTCAAAGTGCACCTTCGGCACCCGGATGTCGTCGGACCAGGTATCACTGTTTCCTCTGCGTGCGCTTTGGAGCACCCACGCATCAATCGATGTAGCGCCATTCCAGCTCACGTATACTGCCTTTTCTTCAGGGTCAACCGCAATTTCAGGCGGATTCTTTGGCTTTCCAACCCAGTGGAATTTGGAGAGGTGAAAATCATGGTCCTTGGCCAAGGCCGCCATGCCAGGTATCCGATTCAGGTTGCGCAATTTGCTGGGGGCAAAATGCACCTCGCAGCGAACTTTGCCTTTCGAAAATTCCCTGAATGAGGACATTTCGTCATAGCTCAGCAGAGTATTTCGGTTGGATAACAACTGTATCGAAGGAATTGACCCGTTTCGTGACATCGGATACACTTCAGCGACTGAGGCGACCATTTGCTCTAAATCAAGCTCAACTTCCAGGGCATGGCCATCCAACCACCTACCAGCGGACCCACTAAGTTTGGTCGGTCCTCGGTCGATTATGACGAGACTCGCTTTATTTTCAACGAAGCTTGCCAGGTGATTTCCGGAGAAACGGGTAGCCGCGCCGCCTGATGCATCCTTGAAATCGTTTCCAGAGCCACCGAGTTGCCAAAGGACTTGCCCTTGCTTGCGGCCGACACAAATCACCGTGTTGCTGCCAGAGAATGACCCTGCTACAAGGTAATCACCATCACCGCCCTTATCGATGCTGTTGATGGATGCCGTGCGAGATGGTGCACGCCATTCAAATAGCAGCTCTCCGGACTCAAGGTCTATTTCCTGGAAAACACTCTCGTATGCCCGTTGTGCTGAAGGCGACCTGTCGTTCAAGCCGCTCCTGGTTTGGTTCGTGAAGCTGATGATGGCGCCACCATTCTTGGTAATTCGAAGTCCCCGTAACTCCCCAGAGAAGTATCCCAAAGGTCGGATTTCCATGAATACTTGATATGACTCGTCCATCTGTTTGAAGTCAGTCAGGTTTGAACGAGTCCAATGTCGTGACAGACGCCCTTTTGAGTACTTCCTCGCTGCACAGCGCTGAAACATACCATAATATAGCGGTCAGAGCCACGGCGTCGAGTAGTATCCAAATGCCGGTAAACCATGTAATTGCGCCCGTTGAGCTGTTGGACAGTGACGTCTTCAGCCCCGATACCGGTCCATCCGTCTTCCGGCATCCAGACCAGGTTTGCATTGTTGTCGAATATCATGAACGGAGCCGCTCTATAAGGGGCGCTGGGCTGATTAAGAAAGATGAAGCCAGTATCGCAATGCTCATTCTGTAGCAGGACGTTCGGCTTTGGTGACCGCTGTTTGAAGGTTCGATAGGTCTGCTCCGGAGAGATACCGTGCGCCCCCCAGTCGTAGGCAGTGGAAGACTCGAAATACGGCCC